TCCTCCTTTGATAGGCAGTGAACATGGGTAGGTGGGAGAATAGACTGGGGAGCCACGGTAGGAGTGGAAGGAGAATGGGAATGATGTGTAAAGATTTTCCACCGTGAAGCCAGGCTCACCAAGGGAAAAACCTCAGGACAGCATCAGCTACCTGATACGATCAGTAATTATTGTTACAACTCACCCAGCAAAGCCGCTGCCTCCTTTATCTTGACATTTTGCTTATAGCCGAGAGCTTTCCCGGGAAAGCATCCATTACAAAAGATGACGCAATGAAGAGATGGGAGAAGTCCCGTGATTTTTTTTTTCTTGCAGGGCCCAGCTTGTGCCCTGAGAAGCGCTGTTTGGGATACTGCTCAGGTGAGGGAAGTCCCTAAGGAGTCCTCCAGTCTCAGAATTATTCCCTTGAGAGCAAAGACAGTCATGACAGATGGATACATGCTTCCATTGTCCCCAGCTCTCTGATTCCCGTGACTTCTATGCTTCTTTCCTGAGAGCTGTTTATAGCCAAGAGCCTGTCCTTGGGGGCTCCCAGAACTGGCGCTCTTAGAGGCCCACTGGGTTAAAAAATACATCAAGCCTGTGAAATCTCACACTTTCCCTGTTATGGGGAACATAAGGAGGCAGATTGAGTATAGATTTGAATGTGTGGTTTGCCTGGAGAGGGGAGATGTAAGCTTTGATTGTACTGTGTCTGACGCTGTCACGCAGTGGTGAGATCCCACCCAGGTGAGATTCCTGTTGTCTGTTATCCGAACTGCAAGTGTCCGTGGGAAAGCTACAGGAGAAGGCGCCATTTGCTTTCTCAACCACAGCCTTTGATGCCGCCTGATTTATCATCTCAATATAATTTAGGAAAACCGATTTTCATTCTTAAGACTCTGAACTGATGCTTATTGGTATTTTGTTGTCTCTAAGACACCGAGTACAGCTAACGTGCAGTAGGGAAATGTTTTAGGTAACATTGAACTGTAGGATACTCTGCTTCTCTGGACGATGGGTGGAGAGGGGACTTGAGTCTGAAGAATCTGAATTTGGGGTAAAGTCAGTGTGGAGTATCGTCCCTCCCAGTCTTTCCCAAACTTTAGCCATCACTAGCGTCACTTGGAGGGCTTGTAAAAACCAGACTGCTGAGCCCTGCTCCTGGGTGTCTGTGTCAGGAGGCCTAGGATGAGGCCTGGAATTAGCGTATCTAACAACCGCCCCCCTCCAGAGAATGATGCTGTTAGCGGCCCAAAGTCTCACTCTGGAACCTCTGGTCTAACTGGTCTTCTGTGTAGGCCACGACACACAGATCTTCATTTTCTGTTTTCTTTCCAAGAGCGGAGTTTCATTCAAAGTGTCTCATCTTGTGGACTCAATGGGGAATGCAAACAGAGGAAGGCCTAACTCACCCACCATTGGCACACATACACGATGGGTGTAGGTATGAGGCAGCCCAAGGGGAGTCAGGTGGAGACACGTCCTTGGGTGGGATGGAATTAGTGAAGGTGGCTGTGTGTATCTAGATGAGGCTGACTAACTCATTTAAATGCTCTTCTAAATGCCTCGTGTCTCTCTGACCTCATATTTGACCTGAGGTCAGATCACAGAGTTCAGCTCACCTCGTCTTGACTTCTCCTTGAACGGCTGCCTTTACAGTTGCTCTGGGCACTGGATCTCAAGCAAGGCAACAGTTTGAATTTGTGAACTCTGTGGGCTCACTCAGTGCCGGGGCAGCCTCTTCCCTATAGAGTCCTGTTGCCTACCTTTGCCTCCTGCAGACACACACTGGGGGCTTTAGGAAGCAGGAACACAGACAGATGCCATAGATTTAACAGCAGCACCATATGCTTGGGGGAAGTGTGTCTCCTAGAGTAGTACTATTCCTGGTGTGGTCTGCAAGGTGGCTGCGGACCCCCAAATGATGAATTAACGATGACCAATCTGCAGTGATGAAGAGCAGTGGTGGGTGGTGTGGAAACACCTAGTGCCATCTTCTGTACCTTCCTACAATGTTCTTTGTCTTCACTTCAACTTCCTTTTCTTCACCAGACAAGGATAAAGTATGGAAACTAAATAACCCAGGATGCTTTAGAGCAGGTTTCTCTACATGTGGATCCTGACCTCTTTGGGGATAGAATGATCTTTTCTTGGGGGTCACCTAAGACCACCTGAAAACACAGCTATTTACATTACATTACAATTCATAGCAGCAGCAAAACTACAGTAATGAAATAGCAACAAGATAATTTTACGGTTGGGGGTCACCACAGCATGAGAATCTGTGTTAAATGGTGGAAACATTAGGAAGGTTGAGAACCACTCTAGAGGTATTGAGTAAAGAGGGTCCACCTGGGCCTTCCCCAGATCAGCCATGTGGTATTCTTTGATCCAGTTCCCCAGGCTCCGTTCCTCAAGGGAAACCACGTTGTTCTAGCATAAGTGTGCATTACAGTGGTGACCTGAAGCTTTGTCCTTTACTGACACTATCACAAGCCGGAAGCCTGGCCACTGAGAAGATGTTAGGTTTAGAGGACTGTGAAGCTCACTGGGCCCAGTTCAGGTGACAATTGAAGGGATTCACAGGGCAAGGGATGAACAGTGGGGGCAGAACCCCCCTCAAAACCTGCAGGTGCTCTGGGACAGGAAGGTAGGTATGTGGGTTTCAAACTCTGGAGTCCCAGCTTCTGCCCTCTGAAGGCCATTTTCTGCCTTGGCTGATCTACCCACCCTCAGCTGCTGATACAGCTGCTGAGCTTCTTGCCCCTTGGATGTGTACGCTTTAAAACACTTTTCTGTAACCCCCAGAGCTGAGCATGAGTCTGGGTAGTGTTGTGGGATAATGCTTTCATACACTGGTTTAATAAAATGCTGATTGGCAGTAGCAATGCAGGAAGTATAGGTGAGATAAGCAGACAAGGAGAATTCTGGGAAGAGGAAGGCTGAGTGGGAGATGCCAGCCTGCCATCCAGGGAGCAGCATGTAATGGCACACAGGTAAAGCCACAGAACACATGGCAGCATATAGATGAACAGAAATGGGCTGAGTTTAAGTGTAAGAGCTAGTCAGTGGTAGGCCTGAGCTAATGGCTGAGCAGTTTTAATTAATATAGGCCTCTGTGTGTTTACTTGGGTCTGAGCAGCTGAGGACTGGGTGGGACACAGGAAAACTCCAGCTATAGGGTAGTCAGGTACCAATGCCTCCTATACTAACACAGAAAACCCATGTCTACAGCAGGCTTTCTTTTCGGCCACCAACCAGCTCCCAAGTCATGACACGGAGACTTAATATTAGTTATGAATGCTCGGCCTTATCGTATGCTTGTCTCTCCAGCTCTTTTAACTTAAATGAACTTGTTTCTCTTCATCTACATTTTGCCTTAGGGCCTTTGACTTTTCTTTCTTTTTACATGTTCTATTCTGTGTCTGTCTGTCTGGCAGCTGCCTGGCTTCTAGCCCCAGACTTAACCCTCTCTTTCTTTCGCGTTCTCTTCATCCTTCCTTCTTCTCTCTCCTCTTATTTATTCCCTGCCCACCAGCCCCACTAATCCCTCTCCTGCCTAGCTATTGGCCATTCAGCTTTTTTATTAGACCAATCAGGTACCCAAGGCAGGCAATGAGAAACAAATGCTAGCCATCTTTACATAATTAAACAAATGCAGCATAAACAAATGTAACACATCTTTGTATCATTAACAAAGGGAGCAGAAACAAATGTAACACACCTTCACATAATTCAAATACTATTCCACAGTATAAACAAATGTAGCATATCTTTGCCTAGTTAAAATAATATTCCACAACACATGTCCCCAGCTTCCCACCATGACCCAGGTGGGTTCAATACAGAAGGCTCTGAACTAAGAGTTCTAGTCCATTCTGCAGAAGTACACAACATGGGCTCCTTTGGGGAAAATAGACAGGACTATTTATGGTCCATTTATCTTCTAATGGCCTTTGGCATGTTATTTGGCCTACTTGTGCCTCATTCATTTGAGTGAAAATGGGGTAATAGAGGGATCTCTGTCAGGTTTTTGTGAAGCATCCGTGATTTAGTATGTGGAGTTTGTAAGAAGCACATGGTAAGTTTTCAGTGAGTAACAGTTCTCTCTCTCCCCCTCCCCCTTCCTCCCCCCCCCCCACTCCAGTTATAAGGATAATGGGAGAAGTCAATCACATACAAGCCAGGAAGGACAAATCATTCTGGGATATGGGGCTTGGACTTCCCAACCTCTAGAACTGTGAGACACATGCTTTGTGTTTTAAGTCACCCAGTCAGTAATATTTTTGTTATGGCAGCCTGAACAGTAAAGACACAGGCAAAGTTTAAAAACTAAGACCAACACAAAAACCAACAAACAAAACACACCTTCAAGTTTAGAGATAGTCATTTTTAACTTTTTTGCATCACTTTTTCCAGATTAATTTCTTTTCTCTAACATAAAACATGAGCCTTTCTTCTCTGTTGCATATGTTGGCATGGGTGCTGTTAAAAAAAAAAAAATACAACCTCAGGGCAGTGCCTCAAACATGTGCAGTTGAAAATGCACTTGGACAGCCTCGTTCTGGACACTTTCTTTCAGGACATCAGAATCTATATTTATAAATCCGTTCTTTTAAAAGTGAGCTCTCTGGGCACTTCCTGCCTTCAGGCAGATTGAAGACACTCAGAGAACAACAGGAGAAGGCCCAAGTGCCTTTTTAACCACTACCAGCAAGATCTTAGCACACTTCAGTGCTTAACATATCCCATGGTGATTAACATCTGAGACTATATTGAGCAAGTGCACAATTTTTTAAAAAATGCATGGATTGGAGCAGGACCAAACTAACATGTGGGAGACTGTGACCTTTGCTCCTTTGCAAAGTCCTCACGGAGCTTGAGAGTGTGTACTTTGCTCCTTTCCTGGCACATACCTCCCTCTTCTTGCTTCCAATCCCAGCATTCCCTGCTTCCGTCTCTGTTTGTATAAATGCCAGTGTGGGAGTGTGCCGACCTTCCGGGTCAGACTTCAGATCATGTTTCTCCTCACTCCAGTGTTGGTGGCGGTTGTCTGCATCTTGGTGGTATGGGTCTTTAAAAATGCCGATAGAAGCCTGGAGAGAGAGAAGGGGGCGGCTCGAACTCGCCCCTGGGTGGATGAAGACTTGAAAGACAGCACTGACCTCCTTCAAGTGGAAGAAGGTAACAATCCATTGCAGCACCAGGGCTTCAGCCCATGTGTAATGTGCAAATTGATGCCAGGGCTACAGAAAGCAAGCCATGCAGTCAGACCTCACTCCTGTTGTGAAAGCAGAATGGTGTGTCACAAAGATGGGTCCTCTCTCAGGTCACTCGGTGGTACCAACCCCTGCTCAGTCCAAAGCCATGGAGGCCTAGGTCTCTCCCAGCTCAGATCCTCCTCTGGTGAATGCAGTCTCTCTCTGGAGTGGGGTAGGGGAATGGTATAGAGTGGCAGTGAACCTGGCCAGGTTTTGATTAGGAATGTTGAAATTGAGAAAGTGGTATGTCTAGGGACTAGCTGCTTTTTATTGTGCCAGGCCCTAGGGGTCAGAGACAAGAGCAGCCTCCATATTCAGTAAGATAAAAGTCCATCAGAGAATGAGATAACACCAGGCAAGTGGCAAACACTATGGAGCTGGAAAAAGGTGTTTAGGGAAGGCCTAGGGGCCTGTTGGGGCTTTGGGAAAGGACAACACTGACCAGGGGGGTGAACGGGGTGAGCAGCAGGGAAGAGGTATGTCAGAGGAGGAGCAGAAAGCCTACACCTATGGTCTAATGCTTGGGAGAGATTCCAAGAAGATGGGAGGATGGGCAGGTGAGGGAGAGACATGCGTCGTTGTGCAATGGTGTTACATCCTGAGAAGCCTGTGGCAAGTTAAGAATATTGGGAATTGGAAATGCACTTGATACATCTAGCCTGCCAAACCCCACAGCTCAGCCAGCCACCACTGAGCATGCTCAGAAGCTTAGAGTGAGGCAAGCCATAATACAGCATCTACCTCGCAATCAAACACTGAGTCTTATGAAGTTTGTCAAATGCTCCACTGAAAGTGAAGCACAGGGTGGTTGGATGGTTGTGTTTTTGTGACATTGTAAAGTTCAAAACTTCTAAGTCAGACAATGTAAAGAGGGGACCGTCTGGTCCCTCTTGGGAAGCCCTTCCTTTAACACAAATGCCTGTTTCAAGCTTTGGTGAAGAATGGTGGGATGGTGGGAAGGCCGTGGATGCCCAAGTTACAGTGAAGAGCATCAGGTCTTAGATATTGCAGAAGAGAGTGAGTGGTTCAGACTCTGCCATCAATGGATGAGGGAGGAGGATCCAGTTGAGAGGGCGATGTGAGGATGTGCTGGATTTAAGATATTTGCGATGTTAGGTGAGAGATTCTGGCCAGAATGGTACCAGTTTGAGGTGACACTCAGAGGTTGGACAACTAATGACTTCACCAAGTGGGTCCTGTGGGAAAGAAGGCTGAAGGCAGAACTCAGGAGACACCCAAAGATGAGAGGTATATGGTAGAGAGATGTACTGCCGAAAGACGACATGAGCAAAGAGACTTGGGGACCACAGCACGCTCGCACATAGCATAGTGGAGGCAGCTGGTGCCATGTCCTAGGTGGAGCAGGCCACTTCATTTTCATGGTACTACAACGAGGTAGGCATTACTGTTATCCCCATCACAGGGGACTGAGGCTCTAGGAGGGTACCACCCGCCTAGGCAGGAAGGACTCTGGCAGTCTGTTTCCAGGATCCAGGTATAGAGCTGTTTGCTGGGTAGTGCTTCCAGCAAAGGAGGTGTGAAAACAGAGTTTCAGAGATTTTTTTTTCCCTTCCAAGGCTGCATTCCTGGGAGCAGTCAGGAGTTCAAGAGCAGAGAGAAGAGGCACTGTTTGTTTTTTAGAGGTCCCAGCAAGCTCTCCACTGAGGTCTCTGCAGGAGTTTGCTGAGCTCCTAGGTTGGACCCTCTGTGCTGTCTCGGTTCCCATTCCACCGACAGACTGGGGACCTTCTGCTCCAGAGGAGGCTGCAGGATGTGTAGTCCCACAGTGCACAGCCTGGGAGAGTCACTCAAGATAATCCCACCGCTTGTGATGAGGTCTCTTTGTTTGCCTTGGTCAGAGACAACAGCTAGCATTTGGGAAGCCTGGCGCAGCTCCTCGATTCACCGTGCAGCATCAGGAGAGCTACGCTGGACTTGGAAGCCAGCTGTGCTCCTGGGCTGCCTATAGCTTGGGCAAATATGACTGCTGGGTCTTAAGGGTTGGTAATGTCATTCGAACAATCATGGGAGCATTCCACACATCTGCTTCTGTACGGCTTCCTCACCACAGGGTTTTCCAAATCAACTTTACGTGGTTGGAAAGTGTTACTGTTGAGGAAGGTGTGTATGAACACGTGGCAATGCTCAGGTTTGTTTAGAACTGATGGATAGCTAGGTATATTTGATGATTGCTAGCTAGGTATATATATGTGTGTGTGTGTGTGTGTGTGTGTGTGTGTGTGTGTGTGTGTGTGTGTGTGTGTGATGATTAATAGCTAGGTATTTGTGATGACTCTCCATCACAACTATTTCCTTCTGACTCAGTGGTTCTCAACCTTCCTAATGCTGCGACCCTTTAATACAGTTCCTCAGGCTATGGTGAACCACCAACCACAAAATTAAATTCATAACTGTAATTTTGCTACTGACTTTGTATGTGCCTGCGTATGTATGTGAATATGTGTGTGTGTATGCCATGTCATGCATGTATGTAAATCAGAAGACACACTGAGGAGTTGGTTCTCACCTCCTACCATGTATGCCCATGGGATTGAAGCCTAAAGGCCTTTAGACACACTTTGTGGGCCTGCCTTTTGGTTTTCTCTCCACTCTGTTTTCTTCCCGCCCTACCGAAGCCACTATAACTCGGGAACTCATTTCTTTCTTTGCTTTTCTTCATGGTCCTAAATGAACTGGCTCTGGTTTTTCTTGATCTTTCTATGTTTTTTGTCCTTTGCTCTTTGTCCTAGGTTGTTTTTTCTGACTTATCATCCACTTATCTTTTATTTAGGCAGTTTAATCTAAATCTATTATTTATCAGAAGTTCCATTTTTCATCTCTGCTATGCCATTTGTATTCTTCCTTCAGTAATACTCTAGAGATTTATATATGTCTGTCTCACTTCCTTCTCTAAGCACAGTGTCATAGCTGTTTGCTCTTTTGAGCCTGTGACTTCTTGGTGCACTGGGACACATGACTTTAGTATCAAACATTGATTTTACTAATTTTTGCTCAAGATATTCCATCTCCCCCACCACTGTGTACAGAATTGCATTGGTGAATTCCTGTGAATTTTTCCTAAAATTCTTTACATATTGTTATTTGCTTCTGCTAGACAACTGGGGTGTTACAGGAAGGGCACACCAAAAAAAGTCACAGGCCCCTGAAAGATGACTTATTTGCAATCCACACTTTCCCAAAGGATGTAAGTGAGGGTCTGAACTGATTCAGCTTCCAACTGTCTGTGCACTGTGGGCTTTGATTTTGGTTGTTCTTCGTGCCCGAGGATCAGAAAATGGAAACCGGACCTGTAGGAATTGGCAGATCAAGCAGGAAAGACGCCTCTGCACTCACCTCTCTAGGTGCATATTTTCCCTTCATTTTTGGCTTTGGAATATCTTATATGTTGTCAGCCTAATGCTCTGACAAAGACAAAAGCCACCTTCTTTGGTGACCCGAATGGGAGATTGTATCAAATAACCTACTCTGCCACCTAACAGAGACTTCCATTTGTTATTTTTTTTTTTGTAGGCAAAAATCTCCTTTACTTTGATTTATAACAGGTCTAGAATCTGAAGGATGGCCATGATCAGTGGTCAAAATTCTATAGATCTTTTTTTCTGCTTTTTACAAAATTCAGTTGGTTGTTTTGCCATCGTATAACCATGTAGACTTTTCTGGAACTTTATTCCCTTCCCCCAGTGACCTTATGACTAGGGTGGTAGCTGAATTTGCTGGGCTTCTGTCTCTTCTCTGCAGACGCTGATGAATGGCAAGAATCTGAGGAGAGTGTGGAGCACATCCCGTTCTCTCACACCCGGTACCCAGAGCAGGAAATGAAGACGAGATCTCAGGAATTCTATGAACTCCTCAATAAGAGACGCTCGGTCAGGTTTATCAGCAGCGAGCCAGTCCCTATGGAAGTCATCCATAACGTCATCAAAGCAGCAGGTTGGTAATGCGCATGCCAAGGCTTGGAGGATGTCAGCTCCCCCGATGCTGTGACATCGTTGGAAGAGCACTGAAGTCCAAGCATGCAGACAGAGCAGGAGTGGTGTGTTTATTGATGAAGGCTTTCTCACTGTCAGTGACAGCCAGAAACGTGTGGGGTTTTACTTGTTACATTTATTTATTTATTTATTTATTTATTTATTTATTTATGTATTTATGTATTTATTTATTTGGAAAACAGATGTGGCGACAGTTTAAAACTTCTAAAGTCAATACATTGTATGAACTTTTGTTTAAAACTAAAAATCCTGAATAGGTTAGTATACATTGCAGGAGAAACATCTCTCTCCTCATTGAAACAAGCCCCTCCCTCCACACACAAGTCACATTTGTATGTTTATCTTCCAGGAAACAAACTTTGGGACATTCTAGTACAGTAATTGGCTGAGCTAGCAACATAGCACGGTTTCCTTCTGGGGATTTCTAAAGGAAACCGAAGCAAGATAAATCCACTTTAAATGTAAATTCATGTCTCCTCTACTGAGGGGAAAAACTAAGAAATATGATACTATGCACTCTCCTGTGACTGGCTTTGCTGATGTCTCCTCTCATCTATGCCACATTTAAGTTCGTGCGGACCGCTTGTTACATATCCACTGAGATCCATCTCTAATCCAAAAGGCATCAAGAATATTTTGTTTCCACCAAGAGTACAAATGCCTTAGATAGTTGTATCCTTTACCTAAGTGGCAACAATCATTAACCTCCACCCAGTGTATGCGTTTGTTTGTGTGTGTGTGTGTGTGTGTGTGTGTGTGTGTGTGTGTGTGTGTGTGTATGTGTGTGTGTGTGTGTATGTGTGTGTGTGTGTGTGTGTGTGTGGTGTGTGTGGTGTGTGTGTGTGTGTCTGTGTGTGTGTGTGTGTGTGTGTGTGTGCGTGTGTGTGTGTGTTTAAATTAAGATAAATTTCTCTTCTCCTCTTCCTCTGCCTGCTCTTCTTCCTCCTTCCATAGCAGTGGCTCTCCACCTTCCTAATGCTGTGGCCCTTTAATACAATTCCTCATGTTGTGGTGACCCCCAACAATAAAATCATTTTCATTGCTATTCATAACTGCTTTTTTGCTACTGTTGTGAATCATAATGTAGATAGACACCTGACATGCAGGCTATCTGATATGTGACCCCCCAACCCACAGGATGAGAATCACTGTTCTATAGCTTTTTGACACAAGGTCTTACTTGAACTTGTGATCTTCCTGCCTCAGCCTCCCAAAGTGCTGGATGGGATTACAGGCACACATCACCCCAACACCTGCTATTGTATTTCCTCTTAATGAACAGTTTTCCACTTCTCTTCAATCTTACATTGATTTTAATTTAATGGGCAATAGGAACAGCTCCAAGTGGGGCCCACACTGAGCCCTGGACCTTTGTGGTGGTGAAGGACCCAGACGTGAAGCATAAGATCCGAGAGATCATCGAGGAGGAGGAAGAGATAAATTACATGAAGAGGATGGGAGACCGATGGGTCTCAGACCTGAAGAAACTGAGGTACAGAACTGGTGTAACTAGGGATGCTTGGTTTGACAGAGTATAAGATTACCACTGTGGGCCCTGGGTTTGTGGGATTTAAATTATTTTTATTAATCATCTTATTTTGATGATGTATTAACTTTATATTAATATGGCTCAGTGTGGTATTTGAGTACATGCATACAGGCTGCATGGGTCATATTTCTGTTTTCTGTTGTTTCTTCACTTTATTTTAAAATCGTTATGTGAAGTCAAACCTGACCTCTACAAAGGCTCTGACCCAAATAATTGTTTCTCTTAATTATTTTAAAATGTTTAAAGATTTATTTCATATTTTAAATTATGGTTATGTGTGTGTATGTGTGTGGGGGGGTATGTATGTATAGGTTCTCACAGAAGTCAGAGGTATGAGATCCCCTGGAGCTGGAGTTACAGGAACTTCAAAGCTACCTGATGTGGCTGCTGGAACATGAACTTGGGTCCCCTGGACTAGGAGAAAGAGCTCTTAACTGCTCATCCATCTCTCTAGCCCAGAAATCACTTCTTAGCTGAAACCTAAGAATTACTTCACTTTCCACCAGTCTGGAACATAAGATTGCGACATGCTTTTTGAGATCTTGAATAAAGAAAACCGTGTTTGGCTTTATGGGCAAGCTTAATAGATCTGTGCCATCAAATAGACGTTAGGACTATGGGCTCCTCCCTGCAAAAGAAAACAGAGTTGGAATCAGGGTGACAGGGGGCAAGGTGGGTGGGGCCCTCACCTCTCAGAAGGCCCTAACAGAGGTAAGCCCAAATACTCAGCTCTTGGAATGCAGAGAGGCCTAATACATCTGTCTCCCCAAGGTGGGCCTACTGTGACAAGTTCTATCACCTGATACCCCACAGTGACAGGGAACTGAGAAGAATGGGGGAATCACAAGCTTGGAGACGAGGTGGGACTTCTAGCCCAGGAATGAGAGCAAGAGTAAGGAGACATAGACCTCTTGGCCCTGCTATTATCTCGAGAGGACAATTTTCTCTATGATGTTTATACTGTGTCGGAACTGATGTATTATGGAGTGCATACCTTCATACCATATGAAGCTCTCAGATAAGTGTGGGGTATTAACAACGAAATTCTAATTCTTATTGTGTATTCCTGGGAAGAAACTGATGAGTGAAAGTCATTTTGAGCTCCTCTGCATTTAGTGAAATAGTAGACTAGCTGGACAGGGTACCTTCAGGAATTGTCACCCCTCTCACTTCCTATCACCAAGACAGAATTATTCTCTTATCTGTGCCCATTGCTCTCACACACACCTTCTATATATCTAAAATGGCTACCACTCAGCATTTTAATTATTAATTTACTTTTCTTCTCATTTTATAGACTTTTTGTTTATAAATCCATAGTACACATCAAGTACCTCTTGAGAATACAATTACAGAGTTGCATAACCAACAATATGTACATAAAGACACACATGCACAGATACACACACACACACACACACACACACACACACACACACACACACACACCCCCCTCCAGAGGCTGAGGGAGCCCAGGTTTAAAAGTCTTTCACTATCCTCATTTAAAAGTCTCTCATTATATGTCCAGAACTATAGTAGTGTATGTTAGGTGACTGAAGACATAATAGTTAAAATGACGGGGCCAATGGGAGCTGGGCAGGTGGCTCAGGAGGGAGGAGCACTTGTGGGGCAAGCATGAGGACCTGAGTTTGCATCCCTAGCATCCACGTTAAAAGCTAGCAATGTGGGCTGGAAAGATGACGCAGAGGTTGAAAGGTGTACTGCTCTTCTAGAGGACCTGCGTCCAATTCTTAGCACCTGAATCAGGGGCTCACAACCACCTTCACTCCAGCTCCAGGGCATCTGGCACCTATGGCTTTTTCAGGCACCTACACTCAAGTGTACATACCCACATATAGACACATATGCGTGCACACACACACACACACACACACACACACACACACACACACAAACACATATCATTTTAAATAATAATATAACCAATGTTCTTAAAAAAGCTAGGAATGGCTGAGTACACCTGCCACTCCAGTGTTATGTGGGGTGGGGGGCAGAGACAGGAGGATGACTGGACTTGTTGGCTGCCAACCCAGTTCTAGCTTCAGTGAGAGATACTGTCTCTGGGGAATAAGATGGAGGGCGATAGAGCAGGTGGCTTGATATCCCCCTCCTATCACAATGTGTACATGGGCACGTGACCAGTACATACTTCATACACGTGCATATACCACATACATATGTGCCACAGGCACACACACACACACACACACACACACACACACACACACACACACGGTGATATTGTGTTCCCCAAAATACTGTGCACCATAATAAACTTACCTGGGGTCAGAGAACAGAACAGCCACTAGACACAGAGGCTAGAAAATGGTGGCACTCACACCTTTAATCCTAGCATTCCTAAGGCAGGGATCCATCCAGATCTCTGTGAGTTCAAAGCCACACTGGAAACAGCCAGGCATGGTGACAGACGCCTTTAATCCCAGGAACTAATGGCAGAAAGCAGAAAGGTATAAAAGGCGTGAAAACCAGGAACTAGAGCCTGGTTAAGCTTTTAGGCTTTTGAGCAGCAGTTCAGCTGAGATTCATTCTGGATGAGGACTGAGAGGCTTCCAGTCTGAGGAGACAGAATCAGCTGAGGAATTGGTGAGGCGAGGAAGCTGTGGCTTGTTCTGCTTCTGTGATTTTCCAGCATTCACCCCAATACCTGGCTCTAGGTTTGTGTTTATTAATAAGACCTTTTAAGATTCGTGCTACACACACACACAACACACACACATACACACACACACACACACACACACACACACACACACACACACACACACACACTGAACAGCAAATGGACACTGTATCCAGTCATCCTCTTCAGCTGCCTTTGAGGCCCATAGCTGGTATTTTCAGTATGTAATGTGGGTCCAACTTACCTTTCAAACTTGACGATTCCAGGCTTGGGGAGGCTTCTACCCAGACCTGAAAATGCCAACTCTCCTTTCAGGAGTTCTTGCTCTTTGCAGCTTTTTATTGGCTCTTACATGTCTTAATGAATCAGTATAAAATTGAATTAACCGAGACTAAATAGTTGATAAGGTATGCTTAGGCGAAGTAAATACAAAAATATTTTTGAATTATCCAATTATTGCCTTAGGATATAGACAAACTGCTTAATCATCTTCAAATCTTTTTAAAATTTGTATTATTTACCTTTACTACTCTATAGATATTTTATACACTTTTGAAATTTAAGCAGGTCTGGGGAAAGGCCTAGGTGGTTAAGAGCACTTGGTGCTCTTACAGAGGACCTGAGTTTGGTCCCCAGCACCCACACGGCAGCTCACAGTGTCTGTAACTCTGGTCCCAGGGGATCCAGTGTCCTCTTTCAGCTTCTCTGGGCCCTAGGCCAGGTATGAACATGGTATACGTGCATACATGCACTCATACCCAGGGAATAAAAATAAATACTTTTAAAGTTAATTTTAATCATTATGAATATGATCAGAATCTTAAATCATGAAAATGTCAAAAACATAGTACCATTTGCATAGCTGAATGCAGCCTGGGGCACAGGCACAGCCTCTTGGCAGCATTCAGCTCCCTCTGTGCACACAGAGGACAGCTGCTGGGTCTGCTCATGGCCTGAGGGCAGCATGTGTCATTGGTGACTGCTGAATGCCAGAAATCTAAGAGTCCAGACAGTGATTAAAAGGGATCCCCATATGTCGGCATTTCTGTGATTTCAAAGCGTGACTCTTGTATTAGTAAAAGCCACTTTCCGATATTAGCCTTCTTCACCCCCACGATGACCATGGAAGATGGGAGCGCAGGAGCAGGCTTTACACACGAGGAAGCCGCAGTGAGAATGTAGCCAGCTCCCCTGGCTCCAGAGTTGATGGAACCGATTCACGTTCTCCCTCTTTGTGAGGTGGGAAAAGTACTACCGAATGGGGCCAAGCTGGCTGAATGGGGGAGAAGATCCTTGAAAGCGATGCCTTGAGGTCAGCAGAGGAATTTACATGTCTCATGTGTTTGAAGTCGGTGAAGCCTAGCTAGGCTAAACCATAAAATGAACAGTAACCACCTCTTGATAATTAGTTACACGTACTATCCCGTGGGGAAAAGGGAGCGGTTTGGACTAGATGGTTCTATGGGCCTATAGCTCTCCTCTCAGCTTCTATTCTAGAAGGAAGTTTCAGCACAGATGTACGGGGCAGGGTAATGAAATCCAGGAAGATACATTTGGAGTTGGAAAACAAAGTTTTCAAGCTATCATTGATAGGCACACAAATGGCCACCGACTCCGTCAGAAGCCACTGCCTCTTCCCACAACTAGGGTCCCTTCCTGTCCTGCCATCTGTCAGTTCGGGTTGCCTCCACTCCTGGTTCTGTAACCCTTACCTCCTCATTCAGTCCTCCCCAGCCTGACCCTCCTTTGACTACCCTCCTGCCTGGGCCACGGCCACGGCCAAGCCTATGGTTCCCCTCCCTCTAGGCTGACTTCGTCGTTGGTATTCAAATGTCACTCTTGTTGATATCATTCTCACTCACACAACCCACGTTTCTGAAGTGGATCTGATCACATGATGCTTCTGCTCAGCAGCATGGGGTAAACCCTCCATCACCTACCAAATGAGGGCCAGGATCCTGCAGAATCTGTGTGTACCTACCAGCCCACCCATGTCCTGGCATGCCCTCTGTCCTGCAGGTTTCAGGAAGATTCCTGGCCTGCCAGACATCCTCTTTCCTTACTGGCTGTATGCATCCATTCATTCTTCCTGAAGCCCTTTCTCCAATTCTCCTTCCTCATCTTCATGGACCAAGTGAAGTCCTTTTTTGTGGCTTCCAATGTTCTTTTCAACATCAACACTTTGCTTTCAGAGTGCTCCTACATGCTTATTATCTAATTCTTTTTTGTTGTTTGTTTGTTTGTTTGTTTGTTTGTTTGTTTTTCGAGACAAGGTTTCTCTGCGTAGTTTTAGTGCCTGTTCTGGATCTCACTCTGTAGACCAAGCTGGCCTTGAACTCACAGAGATCCACCTGGTTCTGCCTCCTGAGTGCTGGGATTAAAGGCATGTGCCACCACCGCCTGGCCTATCTAATTCTTTAGTAACGCTCAGCAAACTTCACTCTGCTGAGGATCAGCTTGATGATCTAAGGCTGTAGGATCTTTGTCTCTTTCAACATTTTGCATGCTTTGCCATGCTGGACAACACTAATAAATGTTTATCAACTTCATTAGCCTTATTTAAAAAAAAAGATAAATGTGGCAAAAAAAAATTTTAAAAATCCAGTCTTTTTCAGTTTAAATAGAAAAGATAAGTAAATGTGAATTTAACAATTGTAGATAAGCTAAGGTAGTTTTTAAAAAGGGAGGGGAAAAAGCCAAAAATTCAGAGGAAATACTCTCCCGGGTATTCTCTCTCCCCCATCCCTCCAGAACCAACTGGATTAAAGAGTACCTGGACACCGCCCCAGTGCTGATTCTCGTCTTCAAACAAGTGCACGGTTTTGCTGCAAATGGGAAGAAAAAGGTCCACTACTACAATGAGATCAGCGTGTCCATTGCCTGTGGCATCCTGCTGGCCGCACTGCAGGTATGTCACCCACCTGCAGGCCCGAGGGAGACAAGGAAGGCACGGACCAAGAGTGGCATTAGCACAGTGGTTCTCCACCTTCCCAATGCGGCGACCCTTTAACACAGTTCCTCATGGTGTGGTGACCCCCAAACCATAAAATTATTTTTGTTGCTACTTCATAACTGTCATTTTGCTACTGTTATGAATCATAATGCAAACATCAGTGTTTTCCAATGGTTGGGAGGGGTCACGACCCACAGGTTGAGGACCACTGCTTTAGTAGGAAGTTTCAGCCAAGTTTCCAATTAGGGGTCCTTTGAGAATTGTTCATCTAAAGCTGAGTTCCTAGGAAAGGTAACTGATTGACAACAACCCCTGGAAACCTGGATTGGTGGGTATCAGGGTTCTCCCTGGAAACTCACCTGTAGTATCTCAGGGTTGGAAAAGCTGTGTGTTTGCTGTCATCCATAGATAGCATGCATCTTGGGGGTTGGAGCAGTCATATGAGAAAAAAGCCAGAGTCCGAAAGTCTCAGAGATTCACTCCCCTCAAATACGCACTGCCCCTTTTCTAGGCTGGTGGGATGACAAAACAGCCACCAGACTCTTCGCTCCTTCCTGGAGAGGTTTACTGTGCTGTGTTGCGTCAGAAAGAGGGCCATGTGCTTCCAAACTGCTTTTCTGCAGAGGCACCAGAGCAACGCAAGTGTGAAGTGGAGCAGAGCTGAGTTCTGCCCCTTAGACCCTGTGCCGTCTTTGGGAGACACTGCGGACTAGACAGCTCATAAACAGTTCATCTGATGGAGACTGGGGATTCAGGGGAGGGATGACGGAGAGATGCTAAACATACAAATTAATGCGACACATGATATTGTAGGAGAGAATGGTCCTGCTTTGAAGGATGGGTCAATTCCATATATGTGTTACGTGCAGATGAGGTTCCTCGTCATGTTCGAGAATGACGTGGTTTGTGTCTAACACCTTACAACGTATGGCTATTGCTGCTTCTCAAACCATCCTGAAGAGCCTGGCTATCGCTTTCCCTCATGACACTCTAGGCAGATAAATGAAGGTGTCTCGGGCCATAGGGCACTGCAGAGGATTTAGGCTTTGGGAGAAGCACAGGGAGCCTGGTGTCAGCCCCCTTCCCACAGCGCCCCTGGCCTCTGAAAAGGGCTGGCCAGACGAGCTTTCTGGTTGAGCCTGTTACTTTCTAGTTTCCAAGAATTCCAAGGTAATTTATGACTGAGAGCAGAGAGAGGCTGTTTCTGGAACCTGCTCTCCAGCACAGCGACTCGATGGGATGGGATAGCCACGCATGAAGCCATGGACAGCTCCTGGCCTTCCCCCTGGCTGAGGCTTCAAAGCGGCCAGGTGACTGGGGAAGCATGGGGAGGAGGAGGACCAGCTGGGAGGGACCTAGAGAGCACTGTATGTTTGTACAGATGTGTGTGTGTGTCTCTGATTCGCCAGCATCTGTCACCATGCCTTGGTTTTGATTATTTTATGGGTTCTGTGAGGTTGAGCCCAGGTCCTCATGCTTGCAGGGCAAGTTCTTCAGTGATGGAGTGATCTCCCTAGGCATTACATGATTTTTATGGATGAAGCTATGCGATGATGTGTATAAGGCCTCAGGAGAGCCCATAGTAATTCACTCCAGAGCCTTATAAATATATGGGTTCAGATGTTAACTATCATGACTATTAATAACAAATTATAGTCAGATGGGTAACTGGAATTCCGAAAGAAACATCTGTCAGGAAAATTATAGTGGACTTAGGCTGTGGACTGTTGGACTATCGTTGCTCTTATGGTCAGATACAAGGTACGGACCAGATCCTAGCTTATCTTTGTCATTCTGTAAGGATAGTTCCGTTCTTCAAGGTTGTTTCCATAAAATAACTGTTCCTATTGCTCAAGCATCATGAGAAAATAAGATGTTATTCTTCCAGATGTTTCCTGATGCTTGTCTAGCGAGGCAGCAGGTGGAGGAACACAGGCAAGGTTCACCATGCTTTTCCTGAGCTGGGAGCCCCTTTGCCACCCAACTTCAGCAACAAATGAAATGAGCAGGAATAGAAAAGACAAGAATGGCCTCAGGCTGGAGAAAGAGCTGTGGTGTTGCCCGACATTAAAATGCTTGTTTGTTCTCTCCCATTTCAGAACGCCGGGCTGGTGACAGTCACTACCACTCCCCTCAACTGTGGCCCTCGTCTGAGGGTGCTCCTGGGCCGCCCCTCCCATGAGAAGCTGCTGGTGCTGCTTCCTGTGGGGTACCCCAGCAGAGAGGCCACCGTGCCTGACCTCAAGAGGAAAGCTCTGGACCAGATCATGGTGACAGTATAGTCAGCCACCCTGTGCTGGGGTGACGCTTGCCTCTCTCCTCCTGGGACTGGCTTTGCTCCCTTTCTGAGTCAGGGCTCCTTTGCAAACCGGTGCACAGGGAAGGCGCTTCTCATGTCATATCTTTCTGCACTCTCTAGAACTTTCTATCCATTAAGTACTGTTTTTGTTGAGCTGTTTTAATGAACATGTGGGGCAAGAGGTCAAGAAGCATGCACACCTTAACTCCTTTACAAGATTATAGGTGATTTTTTTTTCATTTACTTAAAAAAATAATATAGAGAAGTTACACTAGATAATTTACTATAGTTCCAAGAGTTACCTCTACAATGGTTTTTAGTTTAAATGTTGACTAATCAAGTGGTCCTTCAGTCCTCTGCTTTCTGGTGGCTTTGAGACTGTGAATGGAGGTCTATTCTGCCATTGGACTTCATGCAGACTCTGCTAATCTTGAATGAATAACCATTAAAGTCCCTAAATTTTGGTACTCACAGAACCAGGGAGGGATGTCTGCGTGCCATGATCTAGCTGACAGTTATCTGAACATGATGAGCGAGCTGCATGTGTCGGAGCTGGCTTATACTAGCACATAGAACCTGGTGGTTAAATACTCTGGAATTATAAAACAAATTATTTAACCAGTGTGGCTTAAAATTGTCCATGGTGGCGCCGGGCGGTGGTGACGCACGCCTTTAATCCCAGCACTCGGGAGGCAGAGCCAGGCGGATCTCTGTGAGTTTGAGGCCAGCCTGGGCTACCAAGTGAGTTCCAGGAAAAGGCATAAAGCTACACAGAGAAACCCTGTCTTGAAAAACCAAAAAAAAAAAAAAAAATTTTCCATGGTGAAGGTGTTTACACAAAAGGAGTTGGCAACCACCATCAAGAAGTTTCAGCTTTTCAGAGACACTGTTTGCCACACACAGCATCTCCTGCCTGCTTGCTCTCCTGAAACACACTTACCTGTTCTTCAGGTAACAGCAATACTCTTTGGGACTTCCTTGGTCCCAGGTGTCCAGCTGGACCTACCAGAGCTAGTCAATTACCGCTCCACAGCCATCAGCCCTCCCAGGGGCCTGATGCACATGTCTTTATTTTTTTGTATGGGCAGTTCTCCATCCAGCTGGTCTATCACCTCGTTATGTCACTGCCATGGCATCTTCTTCCTCCTCCTCCTCCTCCTCCTCCTCCTCCTCCTCCTCCTCCTCCTCCTCCTCCCCATTTGCCTCTCCTTTTTGTCCTTTTCTCCCTGCTGTTCCTCCTTTTCTTCTTTGCACCTCAGCTGGATCATTGATGAGAGAAAGCTGGTGGCCCGCACGTCAGGGAAAAGGATGGCCTTTCTTTGCTCTGAAATAGAATTAGACTTATAGGAGCCAACACCTTCAGCCTTGAGGTCCTTTGACGTATCTAGAAGTTCCCAACATCTCCACATATCTTCAGTTTTCTCTACGTGTACTTCCCCTCACCTCGCTTGGGACAAGTATGTGTCCCTGGGGCTTTGCTGAAATAAGGTTTCTTGTAATGCTACTGTGGCATTAGTAGATTCTCGTGGGTGGGAATGGGAAGCAATTGCTATACATCTTATTGTTGTACTGGACAAAGTTTCCCTGAGTTCCAAATATCAGAATAATAAACATAGTTTGTTGTCACAGTATAAATAAGCACATACACACACACACACACACACACACACACACACACACACACACACACACACACACCACCTTTTTCTAAGGTCTGGAAACGGAGCTTAAAAGTTTCTTTGGTACTGTTTTCATCTGTTCTACTGAGTAAAACTGAGGTGCAAAAAGGACCTTGTCCCCTTTATAGGGTCCCTCCTGTCCCCCACACAGGGGAGCTGGGCATGAGATGGGGAGGGAAGAGGGTCCCCAGTGTGACTGTTCAAGTACACAGCCACCAGAGAGGATGAAGACAGTCAAGGTTCCACAGGAGTGGAATGAGGGGGGTCCTCCAGCAGACAGCATCACAGGGAGTTAGCTGGTCATTTTCCTATCATTGTCCCTAAAGATACATGACCCTGGTTTCTCATGTTCAACGAAAGCACAGAGATATAGCTCTGGGAAGGGCTTTGGCAGATGTCTTTTGGGGAATTCAGGACATAGTGATGGTGGTGGTGGGGGTGGGTGTGGGGGTGGGGGTGATGGTGGTGGTGATGGTGATGATGATGATGGTGATGGTGGTGATGATGATGATGGTGATGGTGGTAATGGATAGTGGTGGTGGTGATGATGATGGTGGTGGTGATGGTGGCAGTTACTAGCTAGGGAGCTCTGTGGTTTTGGTGTTGATAGAAGGTACATGTGTGACACATGGCAAAGTACACATGGACAAAGCACCACATATACAACTTCCTGCAAAGACAAAAAGGAGGATGTGGTACTTACACATGGGAGGAGTGGGATAGAGCAAGCCTCACTACCATCTTCCAAGGATAGGTAGACCATGTACATTGTTTTGGTTAAATTTCCATCTCAGGAGTGCTGAGGACAATCTTTCCTGTTTCTTATTTGTTCATTCTTGGAGGAAAAGTGCTTTCTCTGATGAGTAAAATTGGGGAGAAATGGATATTGCACATGCCCCAACACCAACATGTACTCCATCTTCAGCCACACGGACAAAGAGGGATGTCTGATCAGCAGAGAGATGCTTCACCAACTAATGTCTCCAAAGAGCGGAGTTTTTGAAGAGCATTCAAATAAACGATTTTTAAAGTATTTTAAATTTTTTAAGGAGTACTTCTAACTGGAAGAAATAGGGTTATCCGTGGATATTTTGCCTGAGATAGACAAGAAATATAGTGGCAATTTTCCAGCTACCTACAGAGTATCCCCTTATTATTTGGGTGAAATAGAATTATGAAATATAATATTGCCAATCTGCACAGAATTACAAACAGTGAGATATTAGAACCAAAGTGGCACCAGCTCTGCCTCCATAGTGTCCTCACCTCCTCCACTAAAACAAAGCAGAGTGAAGAGAGCAGTCAACACCCTTCTGGGTGGTCTCAACTAATGTGGAGAACGTGCTGGGGAGACTCAGGAGGGGACTGGGGAGGGAACAGTGTCCAAGCAGCAGGGCCGCCAAGTTAAACAGAGTGGTGCTGATGGAATGTGAAATGCTCTAATCCCATTCTGGAGAGTTCCTAAAAAGGCACATGAAGGGGACTGGCATGTGTTGTGACTTGAGAACTGTGGGTCAGCATCAAATGCAACAGCATTGGAGCATCTTTAAGGCAACATAGAAACATTGGCGCAGTGTCTGCAGAGAGCTGGAGCCTATGAGGTCATGCAGGAAGTGACATAAGCCAGGTAGAACTTTCATTTTGGAACATGAGTTCTAAAGTGGCATTCTCCTGAAGTGTGGACTGTAAACCCCTTGTCTGTGCCATAATAACCCCAAACAAGGCTTAGGATCCTCATTCCTCAGCTCTGGGGGACTAATCTCACTCCTGTGCACCCTCCTCAGCTGACCTGAGATACCAACCATGCTGTGCTCATGCTCATGAACAGCAATGTAGCACCCCTGAGTCCCTTGGGGTACAAAGTCTGTTCCCTTTTTGAGTGAGTGACTTGCCAAGTCCTGGGATGTGTAGAACTAAACACAGAGATGCTGAAAAGCTCCACATCCATATTATTGATACTTTCAGGTTAACTGTAGGAGGAATCTCACTGTGTTCTGCTTTGCTTGTTTAAGTGAATTAAATGTTTGAAGAGTTCATGCATGATCTGAAGCTAAAATGCAAAATTGGTGTTTGGGCTGTGATTTTGACAGAGAGGTAGAAGAAAACCTGACATAGCTCATTAGCAATATTAGAACAGACTCATTATAACTTTATCAGAGTTAGTAGAGATGTTGAGGTAGATGAGAGTTCCAAGGCATGCTGGTACACACCTGTAATTCCAGCTACTCCAGAGACCAATGCAGGAGAATCCATAGGTTTGAGGCCAATCTAGGCAAGAGTGAGACACACTCAAAAATAAATTTAAAAGTACATGAGAATGGCACAGTTGGATGTAAACCATCATGCTAATTATTTGAAATGCTAAAAATTCAAATATAATGCATGTATACAAATAGTTGGAAATTTTAAAACCTTTTTATTTTGTATAGTGTGTGTGTGTGTGTGTGTGTGTGTGTGTGTGTGTGTGTGTGTAGTGTGTATAGTGTCTGTACATGTATAAGTGCAAGTGGCTTCAGAGTCCAGTAGAGGGTTTTGGGCCCCAGGAGCTGGAGTTACAGGTAGTTGTAAGCTACCTGACATGGGTGCTGGGACCTTGGGTTCTCTGGGAACTCAACAAGCACTTTTAACTGCTGAGCCATGTCTCTAGCCCTCAGGAGTTGGGCATTTTTAAGAGACTCAAACTTTAATGGAATTTGTCTTGTTCAGCCTGAAGTGTGTATCTAATTTGCTCTTCCTCCAGGAGATTAATTTTATTTTATTTAAAATTTATATATTAATAATATGTGTGTCCAGTCAGTTTTAATTTATATTGTGCTGCTATAACAAAGTATCAGATGAGGCCGTTTATAAACAGGAAAAGTTTCTTTGACTCAAAGTTCTGCAGGCCAAGGGCATGTTTCATGGGAGTCATTTTGGGTGGTATAACATGGCTGAAGACATCATGGATGAGAGAGTGAGAGATCAAAGTTGGAGGCTCAAATCCTTTTTCATAGTTAGCATAATTCACTTCACAGAGGTACAGCTTTGCCTCTATGTACTTCCTCCCATCAGGGCTTGCCTCCAAGCATGCTTGCCTTGGCAGTTGAGTGTGCTTTTAGGGGGTTGTTTGAAGCTACAACATGGCCAAAAAGTAAAAAAACCCAGCTGTGGTGGTTTACACAAACAGGATTATTTTCCCCTCATCATACTTAGAGAAAGACATTCAGAACCAAATTATCAGATCAGAGAAATAAGGACCAGCCTCATGCTTCTCTTGCCCTTGTCTCACAACCACAGAGGCTGCCATGGCCTCAACCATCACAACGAAGCTCAATTCTGGAAGCATGATAAGTTTTCAAAAATACTGTGTGTACATTGAATGTATACGGAAATATCAATCTATTATCCATCTACCTTCTTATCCATCTACCTATCTATTGGATCACAAAAAATTTCAAATGAAAGAGACAAGAGGGATTTAGGAACAGGGATCTGTATTTAACCATAGCTGCAAGGGAGTCTGATGTCCAGGTGAGGAGGGAAACATGGACAGCAATCTCTAGCAGACACATCAGTCTTATGATGGTCAAGAACTTACATCTGCCAGGGGGTGTTTAACGAGTGTACCTCCAGACTAGGACCTTGCTCCTAAGCTCCAGATTCTCATACTGGATTGCTTTCCATAACTCTTGCAAAGACATCTTTCAGACTCCAACTTTGCCTGTTCAAAGTAGTACTATTAAGTCACCAGGCCTTATCTGAACTATCAATTCGCACTCCTTTTCTTAGGGTTCCAGTTTGGAAAGCATCTTAAATTCCACTCATTCTCTCACCCCCAACATTCAAACCCATTAGTAAACCTTACTGATTCTACCTCCAAATATTGTCTATGG